ACCCACACCTGTCCGAGGTGGGCACGGATCCCCCGCTCCGTGGGAGATGCTGTTCTTGGTTAATCCGTTTTCACCTCAAGCTGGTCCCACCCATCTTTTAAATAAACCCCAGCCACCTCAACTGCAGGTGCATTTGGACGGGTGACGTGGTGGAGCCATCCCAAGGCAGCGCCTCCACTCGTGGGCTGATTGTCAGGACGAAGAGGTCTTTTTGCCCCCACAGAGCCCTCCGAGTCTTGGCTCCCTTGTCATGGCAGGGCCTGGCACTGCTTGGGGTTGTGTTTGCTTTGCTGGTTTCTGAGGCAGGTGCGTGGAAGTGGATTTGGGGTTCTCTCCCCTTCCTTGGATGGGTCCCACAATGTCCCAACTTTGCCTAGTGCCAGGTTCACCACAGGGTACGGACAGACACTACTGATATACAGGGCAAGTGCGGACCCCCCTTCCTGCCCTTCTCATGCCTGGGGGGAGGGCTGAATCAAGGCAGACTTCGTGGGAAGGAGGCCTGAGCTCCCCTCATTGCTGGGAGATCCTGGAGCATCCTGACCTCTGCGTGACGCGGCCAGGTCTGCAGGCAGTGCTTGTTGGGCCCTGCCTCTGCCTTTCGTGTCAGGTTCAGTGCTCCCGAGAGCCACCTGGACATGTTGTCTTCAGCTCTCTGATGCATGACCAGCCTCACCCGCCTCCACATTTGGTGGAGGGACCTGTGGGCATGGTCATGATTTGACTGGCAGCCTGGATGGTCCAGGCTCTGACCTAGTGGAGGAATGACAGCGTGTTGCCGTGCTGTGGAGGAATTGGCAGGAAGGGTGGAGCCAGTCTGGGCTGCCCCATGGACAGGTGATGGCCAGCACTTGACTGCCCCCAGGCTCTCCACCCGCTTGCAGGGAGGCAGGGAGGTGGACAGGTGTGGGACTCCAGGGCGGGCTGCTCCCAGGAGTGGCACTGAAGTTGAGACTGGAAGGAAGTACCGGCCAGCAGGGCTTGGAAGGGGCTGTTGGCCATGCTCCTGGGCACTCCTGATCCTGGCCTGCTCAGCATCCGCTCCAGGAGGATGCAAACCTGGGGCTCTAATGGGGCTCTGGCCAGCTTGAGTCTGTGGTGGCCTGGTGTCCACATGTGACCCACACCCAGCCCTCGTGGGTCTCCAGAGGGTTCCAGCCTGTTAACTGGATACTTGCTTTGGGCCCCCTGGGCCCGGCCCTGCCCTCATGGGACTTCCAGGCTAGACGGAGACAGATATCAGTGAAACAGACAAGCCAACAAGTGTGCCAGTACCAGTGGGATCACTGGCTCTGCAGGAGCGGAGGACTGTTCTAGAGGGGTGCAGTGGAGGGGGTTGCACCATCCTGGGCAGCTCCCTGGAGAGGGGATGCTTGAGCCGAGGTACAGAAGATGAACCAGATGGGGATGGGAGGAGGGCTTTTCCAGGGAGAGGCCACGGGGGCCAGTAGCTTCACGGAGCTCACAGAAGGCCACTCTGGTGGGGTGTGGAAAGCGGGAGGCAGGCCGAGGCCAGTTGCTCAGCACCCCAACCCCATCTGGATGGACCTCCGTCCCCAGGGAGGCCTCGATGCTGCAGGGGGACCTCCATGTGACCTGGAGGAGGCGGAGAGAAGGATTTGGTGTGGGCCTCAGCTGCCATCCTGGAGTTGACAAAGTGCCTGTAGCTGGAATTTTTTTTTTTTTTTTTTTTTTTGAGATGGAGTTTCACTCTTGTCGCCCAGGCTGGAGTGCAATGGCGTGATCTCAGTTCACTGCAACCTCTGCCTCCCAGGTTCAGGCGATTCTCTTGCCTCAGCCTCCCAAATAGCTGGGACTACAGGCATGTGCCACCATGCCTGGCTAATTTTGTATTTTTAATAGAGACAGGGTTTACCATGTTGGTCAGGCTGGTCTCAAACTCCTGACCTCAAGTGATGAGCCCGCCTTGGCCTCCCAAAGTGCTGGGATTATAGGTATGAGCCACTGTGCCCAGTCTGTAGCTGGAATTCTTCAGGAAGGGCTGGAGCAGGAACAGAGCCCTGGGGGTGGGAGCTGGTCCCCCCAAGGTCTCCTGGGACGGTCCCTTCCCAGAGGCTGCCTGTGAGACCCTGGTGTCATGTGTGGGATGTGCCTTCTGAGCCCAGGGTCTAGGAGACGGGACACCCTAAGCCAGGGCCCCTGGAAACTCTGGGCTCTCTCCTGGTGACTGGGACTTGTGATTCGTCTGTCAACCCTAGGTTTCAAATTAAGTCCCAGCCAGTGACCACATCAGGTTTCCAGTTGTTGGGTTTTTTTTTATTTTTATTTTTTCTGAGACAGGGTCTTGCTCTGTCACCCAGGCTAGAGTGCAGTGGTGCGATCTCAGCTGACTGCAGCCTCCACCTCCTGTGTTTAAGCAATGCTCCCACCTCAGCCTCCCGAGTAGCTGGGACCACAGGCGTGCGCCACTATGTCCAGTTAGGTTTCCAGCTTTAAAGTATCTTTGTCTTGCCAGCCAACCTTATGACCTGTGTCTTGTTTAGAATAATGATGTTGCTCTCTGAAGGGTGAAAAGTCTCAGGTTTTGGTTGTAATTGAAGGTTTTCCTGACATTTATGAAGTGTTAATTGTATTATGGACCACAAGAGGTTCTCCTGGACAGCATTCTGTTCTTTTTGTTGTTACATCTAATGCTTTTATAATCAATCTACTTAGTTGTTGAAAGTCATTGTTGATTGCTGTTAGGAGTTTCTTCAGATTTCTAACACAGCAATTACGCCATGAGTAGCCAGGATCTGGCCATGGCAGCGGTGGCCGAGGGGGGGTCTTCATGGGTAACATCAAGAGCATGTTTTTGGAGCCCGGGCGAAGTGGCTTACACCTGATTATAATCCCAGCACTTTGGGAGGCCAAGGCAGATGGATCACTTGAGGCCAGGAGTTCTAGACCAACCTGGTCAACAAGGCAAAACCTCATCTCTACCAAAGATACAAAACTAGGCGGGGGGTGGTGGTGCACACTTGTAATCCCAGCTATTTAAGTGACAGGCATGACAGTCGCTTAAACTTGGGAGACAGAGGCTGCAGTGAGCTGTGATCGTGCCACTGCACTCCAGCCTGGGCAACAGAGCGAGACTCCGCTTCAAAAACAAAAGCATGTTTTCTGTTGCTCCTCAAAACTAAGAGCCAGTGTTCGAAGACCCCTAGAACCTGCCCTCCTGCAGGCACCACGCTCATGGGTGGCCCCGGTGTGTGACCCTGTGGCCTCAGGAAAGTTCTTGTTGGTTTCTGCTCATGGAAAGGGCTTGTTCCTGCTTTTTGGCCTGTGACTCCCAAGTGTGATACATGGTTGTTGGTGAGGGATGTGGGCAGGGCATGTGGGGAAGAAGGGAGAAATACTGGGAGACCCTCAGGGCTGACCCGTTGAAACTTCTAGCTCCTTAGCTGGGGCCTGGCCCATGGCCTGCCCTCCTCCCGGAGTGTGTCTTGTGACTGCGGGCGCTTTGCACAGGACTCTATACCTTACAGCTCACGTAATGCCTGCTGGCGCTGACCACACAGCTCCTTCCTCCTCTCCCAGTACTGGCACGAAGCACTCCCTGTAAGTATGAAGTTGAACGTAGCTTGGATCGTTCTGATACTTTTTAACATGGAATAACCGCTCTTGCCTCTGACCTGCTAACCGCCCCCCAACAGCCACCACCTGGCCGCTTTCTCGCTCTGGGTCTCTAAACCTGCCTTTTGAGGCCAGTCTCGGTGGAGCTAGGACACTGGGGGTTCCAGAGGCCACGTTAAAAGGTCCCTGAAGCCAGATCTATTTCCTGGGGAGCAAGTCCCAGCAGCCAGAGTCGGGCAGGGATTTCCTTGAGCCTGGCGCAGAATAGAGGCCACGCTGGGCCGCCTGGGAGGACATTCTGACTGCAGGGCAGCACTTGCCCCGGAAGTCCCCGGGGGTTTCTGCAGCCCGGTGGCCAGTGACGTCGATGGTGACACCTTCCCGGGGCCCCAGGTCAGCTCTTGGTTTGAGTCCTTCCATCCCGTAGCTATCCCCCTGGCAGGTGCCTGCCTATAGGGAAGAGCTGAGCTCCCTGAGATTAAGGGATTATGTCGAGGCCAGGTGGGAGGACGGAGCCCATACCGGGGAGGGTGGCGGGGGCAGAAGAGCAGCTCTGAGTCAGGAAGCTTCTGCCAGGATGGACTGTCGTGCCCCGGGGAGCGTGGGGCCTACAGAGAGGTTGGTTAAGGTTGAGGGGGAGAGAGGGGCACAGGGACAATGTATGGGAACTGGTAACTTTGGACTTTGTCATGATTCACAGAGAAATGGGGCTGGTGCTTTGAGCATGGAGGACTCTGGCCAAGGGGTGTGGCATCCAACAGCCCAGAGGAGGAAGCTCTGGTCCCGTGGGTGAGACCAGTGGGGCCAGAAGGGAGGCTTGGCATGCAGTCACATACGATTCAATCCTACCAAGGGGCAAGGGCAGCTGCCTTGTGACCCTGTGTCACCAGAGCCCCTGAGGGTGGGAGTGGCTGTGGAAGGTGATAGAAGGTTCTGTCTTGGTGCTTGGAGCAGTGTAGTGGGGCAGCTGTGGCTCCGGTGGGCACCAGCAAGGCCAGTGAATGGACAGTGCAGGTTGCAGATTTGACCCTGACCTAAGGAAGGGCGGAGCCAGCTGACACCCAGGGCTCCTGGAAGGCAGGCTGCGGCCTCCCCTGGCGGGGGCGCAGTGGCTCTAGAAGCCTTTTGGCAGGTGCTGCCGCTCCCGGCCGGGAAAGAGCCTGCCTGTGCGGGGGCTTGAACTCATGGCCACCAAAATCCTTCAGTGCTGAGTCTTTGCATAGATAAACCTGCTCACTAGAAAGATAAACATTCCCGGGCAACTAACGACACGTTCTAATATTCTGTTATTTGAACATCTGGTAGTCAGCCAAGCTGCTGCTTCCCCTAACCAAGTGTCTGCCTGCTGGCCACAGAAACACCAATGTCCCCCGCCTGGCCGTGGGGTGGAGGCCGCCCTGACCTCTGCCCTGTCTTCTCCACAGGCTGCGTCATCACCATCTCGGGACGCATGACCTTCACGAGCAATAAGTCCATGGAGATCGAGGTCTTGGTGGACGCCGACCCTGTTGTGGACAGCTCTCAGAAGCGCTACCGGGCTGCCAGTGCCTTCTTCACCTATGTGTCGCTGAGCCAGGAGGGCAGGTCACTGCCCGTGCCCCAGCTCGTGGTGAGTGCACGTCCTTGGAATG